TGGCTTGGAGAACAGCTCGGAGTCGTCGCAAGTGCTTGTCGAAGTCGCTGGAAAATACTACGACGTCGTCGAGGTAGACGAGACAGCTCTGTCACTTCAGTTCTGCCAGTACGGTGTCCATGACACGCAGAAAAGTTGCTGGCGCCGTATATAGCCCGGAGGGCATCACCTTGAACTCGTACAGTCCATCCGGCGTGACGAAAGCTGTCTTCTCTCGCTCCTGTTCGTCGACTTCGATCTGCCAGTAACCGCTCTTCAGGTCCATCGATGAAAAGTATCGAGAGTGGCGCAGCCAGTCTAACATGTCGTCGATCCGGGGGAGTGGATAGACGTCGTTCTTCGTCATCGCATTCCGCTGCCGCTAGTCCACGCAGAACCTAAGCGTCCCGTCCTTCTTTTAAAACAGTACGATTGGAGAGGCCCGCGGACTGCTTGAGAACTGGATTATGTCGTCGTTCAGCATCTCTTGACATTGCTCCTGGATCACCTCGTTTTCTTAAGCAGAGAATCTGTACGGCGATCGATGCACAGGGCGCGCGTCGTCCTCGGTAACGATGGGGTGCTCCGCAACGGCGGTTTGGCGCACCTTCGACGACGTCGCAAAGTAGTCGCGGTATTCGGCGAAAAGGTTAATCATGCATTTGCCGTCGTTTCGGGCCCGGAAGCTTAAGGTCAATGTGGAGCTGCGCTGGCGACGTACAGTCTTGCTGACGTGGCGAGGATTCTTCAGTCAAGGCGGCGATTTCAACGGAGTATCGGAGTTCCTCAACCTGGCCAACGGCTGCACCTTTCGTGAGGCGTTGCCTTTCATTTCGGTAGTTCGTCACGTGTATCACAATGCGGCCATCTTGAAATTCAGCTACTCCTCTTGCGGTGCCTATTCCACTTCCTAGAAGCAACTGGAGCCTTCCCTCGAGCAGAAGTTCGCCGCAGAAAGCTTCGGTGATCCCGACGGGCACGAAAACACTAGACCGCGGTGGTAAGTTCACGTAGATTGCGAGGACTCGGACCGCGGATGACGTCGCTTTGAGTTTTTTTCGGTGGTGAAACAGGTTTTCGTAGCGTCAACCGGTTAGCTCCGAGGTCGATGACGGCGCTATACTCGCAGAAAAAGTCCATTCCGAGGTAGCGACCATCGCACAGCCTTGCAGAACGACGAACTTCACAGGGCACGTCTCACCGTGGATCTCAACGTGAGCAGTGCATCTCCCGACTGGTGTGATTAGGTGCCCACCGGAGGCTCGTATTTGAGGGCCTTCCCACGGCGTTGTCACTTTTCGCAGGCGGCGAAAGAGCCTCCCACTCGACAGAGTAGTCTGCTTCAAGGTCCACGAGTGCCGATGCCTCGTGGCAGTCGATAACAACGTATAGGTTGTTGCACACCGATGCAGGGGTGTCGTTGTGATACGTAGCGTCGGGAGGGCGGGAGTGCTCCGTTGTTCTAGGAGGCTCTTTACTTCGGTCGTCTTTGGCAACGCCACCTCGAGGCGTTGCCGCACTTAGTTTCCAAGGCGACGCAGGGGAAACACGCTCTCTCGGCGGGGTCGTGGCGCTGGAGACGCTGAACGTCTGGGCGACGGTGAGTGGGATTCGCGGCGGAGAGGCGGCGCGGGGGTTGGCGAACGTCGGAGTACTCCTCAATGTCGCGAGGGCGTTCGTCGTACCTTGGGCGCGGGTCGTTCGGGGGCATCGACGGTGAATGTCGCCGGCTTCAGCGCAGTGATAGCACAACGGGCGTCGATCGGCCGTCCTCCACGCGTCGGTCATTCGGGCGCAGCTTGCTCTGGGCGGAGGTGCGCCCGATCTTCCTGGCGTCGGGAACACTGCGGCGCTTGAGGTTTACGTCAGGGTGGCGCCGTGAACGGGTGAGCAAAGGGCGGTGGTCATCGGGTAGCTGCGGCGTAGCTCAGCGTCGGTGGTTCGGGAGCGGCGCTGACGAAAATATCTGGCTGCAGCGCCTGCTAAACTTCTTCCCAGACAATCTCGGCGATCGAGGACGAAGCCGGGCTTGCTGCAGCTGGTACAAGCTTCCTGATTTCGTCCCGCACGACGTCCCGGATGATCTCACGGAGGTCCAGGCTGTGGCAGCTGGAAGTCGAGAGGGCAGCGACGCCAGGAAGTCGCTTGTAATGGGAGACCCGTGCTTGAAGGGCACGTTCAATGTTCTTGGCTTCCTTGACAAAATCTTCGACAGTAGAGGGGGGGGGGGGGGTTGCGGACAAGACCACCGAAGATGTCAACCTTTACACCTCGCATCAAGATCCGCAGCATCTTTTCGTCGGTGGCTTGAGGGTCGGCGCGAGCGATTAGGCGCCGAACATCCTCGACGAGACTGGTGACTGTCTCTTTTTTCGTCCTGGGTCCTCAATCGAAGAAGGTCCTCGGCCCTCTCCCGTCGATATTGGTTGGTGAAAGTCCGTCTCAGCGTATCCTTGCGGGCGGTCCACGGGGACAAGGAAGTTTTTCGATTTCGAACCAGTGCCTAGCCGTTCCTTCGAGCGCGAAGTGAAGACTCTGTAGGGGCTGCTCTTCCGTCCATCATTTGTGCAGGGGCCACTCGCTCGTACTGCTGTAGGCAGTCCTCGACGTCTTCATAAGGCTCGCCATGGAAGGACGCAGGCGTACGGGCAGCGACGGGTGGGGTGGTCATGGTCGGAATCCTCTTTTTCTGGTTTTCGGGCAAGAGACCAAGTTCGGGGGACTGACCTCTGGTACGACGGCTTGTTCAGGCTTCGGCGTCTTCGGCGAAGGTAGGCTTTCGGTGTTGAGCACCTCACTTGGCCGGGTTGTTTTCGGAATTGTACGCTTCACGGGCCTAAAAAGCGATACCCCGCATTTCAAAAAAATGTCGCGAATGACAAGTGATGAGGCGACGAAAACTTAAACAAACTAAACGCTTAATGGCGCGAACTTGTGCCCAAAACAAAAAGGCAACAGAAGGTAACAATAGAGCGTCGCGGGCATTAATGGCGGCGTTACAGCAGGATCAAACGCTGGGGCGAGACTGACTCTAGCTCGCCACAAGGAGCCCCTTTTGTACACACGTGGGCTTCCTGAACAATTGGCATAGAAGGTAAGGCGCGTTGAACATTGTGGCCTCGAGCATGCAACAGAGTTCTCGAATTTACCAGAACAGTAAATTGCAAGAATAATAAAAAAAAAAAGGTGCGTCGCGCCCCCCAAAAAAGAATTGAACCCTGGCTCTTCACGTGGGTAGCAAGCACGATAACCGTTAGGCCACAGCCGCGCTGCCTGCTTGGCCAGCTACGCGCGCGGCAATATTCCGTTGACCTGTCGGTTTCCGTACGTGGGGCAGACAAAACGGTGCTTGAATGACCGGCATCTAGAACACGAGAGCTGTTAAGTGCAGGTCTCCGAATTTCGAGATCGCTCAAAATGCTCGAGAATGCAATAATTGTTTGCCTGATTGGGGTTGCACTGCTGGGTTATACAAAGAAAAATATTTTGCAAAATAGGTCATGAAGGAAACCATCACCATCGCTTCTTTGGGCAATCGTATCAGTCAACCGTCAATCACGCTACATAGGGCAATCCGAAAGTTCTTGCTTTTGTCATTTCTTTTACAGAAATGGTTCATTTATTCATGTCGCCTTATCAGGCGTCAGGAAGATCTTTTCTGCGAATGGCGAGGGTTACGCCGGGTCAGTCTTTGGGTGAATGTGTGAGGGAAAGGGTAGGTTGCATTAGTTTGTACGAGTTCAGGTCGTTGGTTGTTTTGAATGGAGGTCAAGACGAAATGTATTCTAGCTGTTGGTCACGGTGGCGTGTGCAAATTTGCTGAGAACCCTGTGTGGGAGGTCGTATAAATACGACATTGTCAATAAAGATTAGTAGCTGCGTCTGAGAGATTTTGTGCTTGTTCCCTTTTTCGTCCGTCGTCTCCAGTTTTTCAAATATATGTAACATAAGCCAGCTCGGCTATGAACTCACTCTATCGTCAGTATTTCCCTGATTATTTTTCTACCACTCTCAAAACGTTTTCCTCCTACTGCTTCGTGTTCTTCTACCACTGTCAAAACTTTTTCTTCCTCTGCCCCAGTCGCGAATTAAAGTCATCACTACTGCAGAAGGATCTGGTCTTGAAAGTGCCACTTGAATTTTCCGGCTCTTGCTCTCATTTCGCATTTTATTAGGGGTGTGCAATCAGTGGTTATAATTGAGTACTGGTGCTTCATTTATGGTATTGATAGTCCAAATGAAAGCCACACCATACGTCCCTTTTGATATTCTTAAAGCAGGCGCTGCGCTATTCGTTTCGAATTTCTGTTTGCACACACCCTATATTTTAACGTGAAACATTATTTGGCTAGGTATTCGACATTTGGGAAGCCTGGATAAAAGAGTGACCGTGAGGTTCAACGCTGGTTGGTTGACGGGTGGGAAGGGAGGAGCGAGGTGGTCGACTCTGATTGGTCAACGGGGAGGTCATGTAACCAGGGGATAGGCGAGAGGGATCTCGACCACTTGCGCGTTCACTGCTTGTGTTCACTGAGCAAGAGGAGCTCGATAGTACGAAATGTGCTGGACGATCACCAGGCTTATCAGCCCGATTGGCTGTGGTATTGTTTCATTCTAGGTACACCTACCAAGTGTACACATGGTACGCGTTAAACTGTCTGATGAACCGCGCCGTAAACGCAGGCGTCTGGCGTCTGGAAACGCAGAGTATCACTTAACGTTTGTGCCGCTAGAACGTTTTACATTTGCAATAAAATTGCCTAGCAATTTGCCATACATTTGATATTTTCACCTCTGCTCTAGCAACATCATTGACGTGCCACATCCCCAGCAATTCCTTTTGGTATTGCTCATTATATGCGCACATTGAATCATTCAGGAATGTAAATCAATATAACAATTTCTGCGAGTTCAATAGATAAGTAAAAACGAAATAATAAACGCCAAAAATAGGCCGAAACGATAAGTGCACCCAAAAGTGCTAAGAGACAAAACCATACCATGAACGAGTTCTAGTCGGGTGAGTTTTTAACACACCTTTATTTGCCCCCGGTCGGTTTAATCTGCACACACGTGATATTCACTAGACTATTTGCTTGAGGTTACCGAATCGGAAGCGGAAGAGCCCAGAGATGCCGCATAGGCCTTCAAAGCTGCCCGCTTCACCTTGCCAGTTGGAGTCCTGGGCAGGCGATCAAGGAAGTAGACACCGCCGTGAAGGTGCTTGTATATTGGGAATACGTCTATAAAAAGTGTAAGAAAAGTATATTAAGCATTAATAACTATATCAAAAAGCGCGGATCTCTTATCTAAAACACGATGAGTCGTTCTCTTGTTCCTTCCATTTGTTGGGTTGCATAAATCAGTTACCTCACTCTGCGTGTTTGCATTTTTTACACAAGTAAAGGAGCTGTAGAAACGTTTTATTATCGAGAAGGCAAAAATGCGATTTAATTATTTCAGTAAACTGAGTTACCGCGCGTAAATTCCGTAAAAAAAGCGATTCCGGATACCTACGAATATACACACACATACACACACATATATATATATATTGTTACGAAGATGTGCGGCCGGCAGCGAATGATAATGACACGTCCACTCAATGAGATAGAAAGGATTTTATGGAAGCCGGGCCGTGCGCGCGGAGCGTGGCACGTGATGGTCAGGCACGCCGCTGCCGCAGTGTCGCCGTCTTCTTCGTCACATTACCCCTTCCTTTAGAAAGGACGACCCGGCCGATGAATGAAGGAAACACGAGAGTGAACTGAAAACACACACACACACACATACAGAAGACGAGGCCGAAGACACGTATGACTGCTGCCGGCCGCGTAGAATGAAGATGTTCTTGAGCCTGCAGCCTCTCTCCACAGCATTGCCGATCTCTGTGCCAGCCACAGCCCCACAACGTCACGATCCGGGCTGGGGAATTCATTCGACCGCTATCAACACCGACGGGGCTGGGGACAGGACAGGGGACCATAAACTTGCGTCTGTGTCTCAATTTCGTCCATAGTTTATCTTGTTAACCGGCGCTCTTCATAAAAATCCTCGTAACTCACATTCGTTGAACCTCTCTTTCACAGTCACTTCGCCATTTCAGGCAGTTCGCGGGGCGGGGGGCTGTGCGGCGGGGTTATGGTCTGGAGCTCAATCGGCTGCGGCGGAGGACTGCTGCAACCAAGATCCGGAGCGATGATGACGAAGAACGAAAGATGATGTACCCCGCACCTCCACCAAATGTTACGAAGATGTGCGGCCGGCAGCGAATGATAATGACACGTCCACTCAATGAGATAGAAAGGATTTTATGGAAGCCGGGCCGTGCGCGCCTAGCGTGGCACGTGATGGTCAGGCACGCCGCTGCCGCAGTGTCGCCGTCTTCTTCGTCACAATATATATATATATATATATATATATATATATATATATATAAATGAATTTGTGCAGATGAATGAACCGTACTTAATCCAATGAATTAAAGAATCCAAGTTTTCAGGAACCCACCGAAAGCCAAAAAATGGCGGAGCCAGGATTTGAACTCTGGGTCCGGTCGGGTGTGCTAACCACTACACCACTCCACCTTGGCTTTCTGGCGTTTCCTACCTGTCTTATTAATGCACAAGAAACGAAATGTATCCAATCGGAGGTGTTCTGGAAACACACGCCGCCGCGTGCAACGCGGTACGACGCTTAGTGTCACGTGGTACGTGCTCGTTTGTGCTCCAGAAATCCTCCCACTGTTTGTCTCGCCCCGTCTACATGTAGTAGTATTCTTTGTTTATATATATATATATATATTTGTATATATATAATATATATATATATATATATATATATATATATATATATATTCGTAGGTAATTTTAATATATAATTTTAATTTTATCGCTAATTTTATAATATATATATATATACACAACAAGCATGGTGGCGGGAGGCCGAAGGCGTGGGTATATATGACTCGGAACCTTGGTGAAAACAGCAACAACGGACGATTTATTCTTCGACGTTTCGGCCGAAGTCCGGCATTCGTCTTCCTGACGAAGGCCGGACTTCGGCCGAAACGTCGAAGAATAAATCGTTCGTTGTTGCTGTTTTCTCCAAGGGTTTTCTTTTCTTCTCAGCTATATATATATATAACCAGTCTTGAAAAAGGTGTCTCAGGCCGACACGTCAACTGGCTTTACAAATAACATGTTCTAAAACTCCAAACAACCTTCTCAAGTACGTTTCTTTGCCGTCTATAATATATATATATATATATATATACTTTCCTATCCCATTAAACAGAATGCATGTGACTCTCTGACCTTTTTTGGTACTGAATCTCCAGGTGATCAACTAAAATTGAGCCCAATGGCAACACTATTTATAGATGATTTTATGGAGACACGGTCGGAGGTACTGGTCGGAAATATTTTCCTTCCAAAAATCCTAAAATCGTCTTCTTTCTTTCTTCGGTGCAATTTAATGCTTTAGGCTTTGACATAGGTATTCTTGCTTCCTTAAAGGGATACTGAACCGAAATTTCGAGCCCACATAACAAGGCTTGACGGTTAGGCGCGGGCCGCTGCAAAATCGAAAAACATCACTCATACAGCGATATCTCTAACAAATCGCCGTATCTTTGGAAAAAAAAACACAAAAAAACTGCGCCATTGAACACGACCGATGAGGCCGACGAGACAAGGCACGTCACGATTCCAATGCCCTCTACTCCTCGCTACGCCCCGTCGAGCTGGTGAACAGAAGCGAGGAGGAGAGAAGCGAGGCCGCTTCTCCTCATTCTCGAATTCTCCCGGAAGACAATTACGTCAAAGACCTCGCTTGATCGCGCCTTCTTTTCAAAAAGTAGGGCCATCAGTTTGAGATTTCAATGTATGAGTGATATTTTGGAGTGTGTAGCGTCCCGTTCAACACTTCTGCGGCCTTATTTTGCGAAATCCAAACTTCGGTTCAGTATCCCTTTAATGTTTCCTAAACTATTGTACTTAACAACGTGGCAGATCCGGAAACGTACGAATAATTTATATATCTGTTTCACACGATTATGCACTTTCCTAGAATCCTTTTCACCTGAGACTGTCTTTTTCATATCCTCCCCCGTCGTCTTCCGGTCCTTTTTGTGGGACGCTTTGAGAACGACGAAAGCGGCGGCCACTTCAATATGCTCATCGTGTGGCAGGCCTGCCACTGCGACTTCGGCAATCTCGTCGTGGTTCTTCAGAAGAAGATTCTCCACCTCCGAGGGGTAGGCCTTGTCGTTCATGCACTTGATGAATTCTTTCAACCTGTCTACGTAGTAGACTCTGCCATCTTGGTCGTAGTACGCAATATCCCCTAGAATCGGTAATGTACCAAAGATTTAACTGGTGTCTAGTAAAAAAAATAAAAAAAAACTTAAATATTTTACTGAAGCCAGGAAGGGCAAAATGATTAAAATTATGTTGGTTTATTTCCTAAATTTATTCCGAACTTTTTTCTTGACTTTATTCTTTGTATAACTAGTGACGCCAAAATATTGGCTGCTGGGATGTTATCACACTGCTACGCCACACTGCAGTCACTTACTCAAGAAAGAATCAGTAAAAAAATAACTTTTGTGTTTCAACATTCGTTCTTTGAGATTATCTAGACTCATTGCGTTTAAATGAAGTTTGAACCGCGTTCGAAGCACATGTACAGTTTTTTTCGAAGTTTAGAGCCCACCGCGCGCTTGGGCGGAGCGGGCTCGGTCCCGTGCCGCGGCGCTTTTATCGCTGGCCGCGAAAATCTTGAGAGCGAGGACTAACTTCTCTCTCGCGTCGCGCTCGCCTTGATAATAGGGAGTTTTCGTAGATGGTTTTCGCCGTCCCGCAACGCTCTCTGCAATCCGCTACGATACCCGCGGAACTCTCCAGTCAAGACCATCGGCTCGAAGGCGTAGTAGCGGCATCTTCGTTGCGGAGGGCTTAGCGGTGGGTGAAACGTGGTATACGCAAACTCCCTAGTAAAGTGACGCAAATAGCGAGAGCAAAGTTCCCCCCTCGCCGTGAAAAATCTTACCGCCAGCGAGCGCCAATGATAAGAGCGGCGCTGCACAAGAGCGAGCACGGCCCGGCCACGCGCGCGGTGGGCTCTAAACTTTTGAAAAAGACTGAACAGCATCTTTTTCGATTTCCATCTGAGGGGCCAGAATTGCTTTGCGTTGGAGGATTTCTGAACGCTCAGTCTTCGCAACAAGCACAAAATATACAACAATACCCTTCTAAAAGAACATGTTACTTGCATGAGAACGATTTCATTTCAAATAGTACAGAAAAAAGGGCCATTTCTCAAAACCTTTTGACAAAAATATATATGCTCGGCAAATTCTTCATTAGGTTTCATCGAAAACCGTTTTTGAGTAGTCATGTTTTTAGTTCGCGGGGTTTTTACTTCTGGACCAAAGGCGCATTTCTGAATTTGGGCGACCATCACAGGTCGCGTATTTCTGAGCTTCAGCAGACTCAGATACCTTCTTTACAACAAATAAACTTTTTTACATTGTGCACAGGCCACTATGGTTCCGAGCTATTCCTCGTGTCCTTCGCTCGCTGGAGCGCCCGTTTACCCTCAAGGCGCTACAGCGAGTGGGGGCTACATGGCATTTTACTTTTCTCTGTGTGACTTTGTGTTTTTTTGTTTCTTTTTTTTTTGTTGCCGTCCCATGTTTGATAGAGTTTCAGACCACATTCCTCTTTCACCCCATTGGCGTCTTTTTCTTCTGCGTGTTTGACCGACTTTGTTCCGCCGCCAAACGCTTTAACTTCCCCAAAGGGCATCTATAGATGCCTCCTGAGTCGGTTTTGACGTAGCTGTCGTGGACAGTGATGAGGTAATCACCGCCCCTCTGCCTAGGCCAATACACCTCCGGTAAGGACTCGCCGTGTTGTGTGCGAGAAGATTGTCGAGAAAATGATCCTTCTTCGCACGGACAAAAGAGCTATGACTCTCGCGCTGTGCCGCGGCGGAAGGAGCGAAGAAACGCCCGAAGGGTTTACCGTCCAAAAAGGTTTTCCAAGCTTTTTTTCGCCTTTTACGTTGTTCCGAGACCCTTCTTCGAACCGAGTGGCAGACGCCGGCACTGCCATGCATTCTAGCATGACAAACGATAAAGGCGAGAAGAAGGATGCCTCGTCGTCGAACGCGCCAGCGCACTTGGCCGCCATCGTCCAGCAGACAGCACCTGCCATTTCTGCCTCCTTCGCCTCTACTTTGGGAGCAGCCCTGCTTCCAAATACCGACACCTTGGCCGGTCACACTTTCAAAGCTACGCCCATAAGGTCGTAGCGTTGGAGGTGTGATGATCGTGCGGACGACAGCGATCCCACGATTCAGACTACAAGGCGGAGTATGTAAATCTTTGCATTGCTCATCACCCGGAATAAAAATGCTGAGTCACCGAGCTGTGGACGCATGCGCAGCGTCCGATCTACCGCACAGCAGAGCAACAGCGCATGCTCCGAAGGCGTTCCACAGCCCAGCAGACAAAGATGGCGGCGCGCAGATGGCGATTTCTGCAAAGGTCTATAGTCGAAATGCGGCGTAGCAGAGCCGCCTTAGACTCCAATGCTCTGTTGAGCAATCGCCTTACCCGAATGGCACCAGCCGTCTTTGTCTCTGAATTCGGCGGTCTTTTCGGGGCACTTGTAGTAACCCCTCATGGAGCATGGACTCTTGTAGCACAGCTCTCCGTGGACATCGGGACCAATCGGCTCTCCTATCTCGATGTCGACAAACTAGAGGAAGAATATTGCGCGCGATAAATGTCGATATTTCTAGTTATCGAGTTTGCCCATACTGTATTGCGTACTGTGTAATGCTAAAGGGAACTGCGAAGTTTGAGAACATATTACGCGATATCAATCACACTCCCTCAAACAAGCGGCTGTTCTTGTGAAATCACAGGAGGAGATTATGGTAGTGACTGTGGGATATACAAAAGCCAAATCGATCCAGTACACTGCAAAAGACAAATATCTTCCTCGTTGATATCCCGTATAACACAACGTATTTCGAAAGCCCTCAGAAAACGACTCAAAACAAGGTTGTTTTCTTCCACTTCCCGATACAAAAAGAAATGATGTGCGACATTTTTTCTATATAATTATACATATATCATACGCGGCTAATAATCTCCGGTTTTGGGTCCACGAACTCATAGTAGGTGTCTGAAGTGCGTACCCGGCTGGTCTGTTTACCGTGTTTTTAAAAGTAGTCCCTCAATTTCTGACAGATGACGTCGAAACAGGATTACGCTGCTGCCTTCCACTATACTAGCGGTGGCACAGCAGTAGACGTGGATGCGACAGACGCCTGCTCAGCTGCAGGTCGTACTGCAACTAAAGAGTCGATGGAATCCGAAGCAAACATGAGTTGGAAAGTTGCGAGCTACTACGACGAGCCATGCGTACGCTCGCCTCTCTGCCAACATTTTTAAGACCAACCGGCAGGATCGCGACATCCGAGAGCATGACGCACTGGCTCCTAAGAGACAATTTGCGGTCACTTCTGGACCACGTTTACTTCATGGGCGGGATAGTGAGCGTAAACACAGCAGTCAAAAGCGTTCCTGACACCGTAATTATTGTAAGGCTTCAGTTACCTTGAGCTGGACCATCGGAGCAGGAAAGCCTATGCTGCGAAGATCCATCTCGTCTTGAGGAGGAAAAACGACGAGGCCGCAAGCTTCCGTTAATGAATAATTGTTCCTCAGGCAACGTAAGTCCCCAAAGACCGACGTCAGCGTCTTGGAGAGCGCCTCACTGGGTGTAGTGCCGCCAATGTTGATCTTCCGGATGGAGTTGAGTTGAACTCCAGTGCGGCGCATTTCGCTCGTGAAGTACACTAGTTGCGTAGGAGAACTGGAAATGGTTGTCACCTAAAAGAGGTAGGTTAAATAAAGATCGTATCAACGCTCCTGAAATTTGAGCAGGTTAAAAATTAGAGCAGTTTTATTCTGGCAAAGGAAGATGTTACAAAAAAAAAAAATGCTTGTCCTGGCTTCAATGCATAGAGCAGGGGTTATAAGCTGGACATTCGGCAAGAAAGTCGGCGAGATTTTTGACCGCCGCGATGGCCAGCGCCACGCTTGATCTCGGCACTAACAAACCACCGCGGCGGTTAGAAATTTCGCTAATGTTCTCGCCCAGTTTCCAACGTAGTGCTCCAGACAAGCATAATTTCAGTAATCTTGTTGAATTGTGACAACAGGCGAAGTCAATTTCGTCACTGACTATAGAGAAATTTGTTAAAACTCTAGAAAGTTTTAACAACTGTTTGGACTTTTTAGAGCCATTAGACTTTTTTTTATGATTATATCAACGCAGGTTCGATAAATATATTGGATATAATGATCGCCTACGTTAAACGCCAAATTTCTCTTTAAGTCTGAAGCTGCAAGGTGCCTTTCATATCCTGTCAGAAAACGTTGCTTACTCAAGCGAGTGTGTTAATCTTTCCACGTTTCGTTTAGTGGTGTTATGATTGTCTTAGCTTCAAAACAACTGCTCGAGCGAAGCACAGCTGAAATGCTCAGAGTCTCGGGAGAGAAAATAATCGTGAATTTTCTCGTTCATTGTATTGAGCAATAATTACTGAAGCAGACCCGAAATTGACATGCGATGCATCTTGAGACCAAACCAAAAACATACAAATAAATGCTCGTTTCATTCATTCTATATTGCCTTGTTGCAATTCGGCACCACCGGTGTGCTTGGCCGGCATTTTCAGTCTCGATAACTTATTTATAAAACTCGCGTTAGTTTGCCATAGTGGATGAAATGGTGGACTAAATGTTAGCTGAGTTTCGGACCGGAAGCCAAAGTTTTGGAACTAACCGCTATCTTATTAAAAAATTACACGCGATTTCCTGAAACGTTACTGGGGAAATAGTACCCCTGTTCATAAGACTCCGCCCTTCAGCCACACGTGTCCATGAGCTTCGTCGTCCACCATTTTCCAATTGAAACATTTCGAAAATCGCTTATAACCTTTGAAGAAGATAACGGTTTGTCTTGAAACTTTGGCATATGGTTCGGACCGCTAGCCTTACATTTGAGCGGAGTCTGAGCGATCGACCATGCGTACTTTACTTTTTTAACATAAAAAAAACTAAATTTTTTGGAAGGCACTCTGTAGTTTACTTTTACACTTCGGCAAAATCAACCGATATGGCTTTTTGAAGCGCGGCCAACACACTGCGCCACCACGGAGACGTCTGAGTAGAGTAACAGCGCGGCTAGAGAGGAGTTCCGAAGTACCTGAAATTTGTTAATGACCTCAGCGAAACGATCAAACTTCATCATAGGGCTGACGACGACGCAAGTTGTTCCGTTGCAGGCCGCACTGATGATATACTGGAAGCCCGATGCGAACGTCAGAGGGTAACAAGCCAACAGGACGTCTGCTCCCTCGTCCGTCATGCAGGCCCTGCAAGTGCAGAGGTGCTCTCGTTAAATGACTTCACTAAACGTCCTGATTTGCGATTAAAATTAATATCCGAAGGAAGTTACACATTTATGTAGACATTAAAAAGACCAGCGCCCGAAGGAAACGTTTGCAAAATCTCCAATGCTAATATGAGTCTCTTTTCCCGTCATGTGATTAATAAACTTCACACTAGCTTGATCTTGCTGACAGGCGCTGGAAAGAACAGAATATGCCGTGAATGAGAGGGGCGCACATAGCCGTGTTTTTAACGTCGGGTGACGTCATGAGGACACACGACACGTTACGTGACGTCACGGTGTCATGTCGAAGTCCCGTGACTCTGTGACGTCACGTGACTTTATACTGTTACGTGACGGTATGTTGTCATGACTGTGACGTGCAGAAGGCGTCATAATACTACGTTACAACATATGACGTCATGGTGTCACATAACGTTATCCCCGCAGGGGGCACCTGTGAAAAAAGGTGTTTGGAGAGTGGTGACTTTACGGACCCCGAGCCATGAGGGTTCGCCCGCCCACGTCTGGCTGTGCGTGGCTTTCCCGTGTCGGGGGAAACGGGCATCCTGGTGGTTGAGTCGAGCCCTGGGTAGGTATGGACCCTTCGGGGACCCCCAGGTGATGCAATACACCACTTCGGCCCCCGCTTCTCGTAGACGGGTGTCCTGGCTTGGCCCGACCAGGATGTTTCAGCCAGTCGCCACTCCTTCTACTAACCCCTCCTTTCGTTCAGCCTTGTCATCTCCTTCTTTTTACTCTTCTCATTTTTCTTCCTTCCTTTTCACCTCCTTTGGCGGAAAGGGCTAACCTTGGGTGGCAATAGATGCTCTTGTCTTGAACCTCACTTGGCTATAGCGCCATGGTAGAACTGGCAGTGCAGCATACTCGGACAAGCCCTGACTGTTATGAGGTGTTGCCTGTCCCCTTGTTGGGCTCCGCGGTGGGCGGTACGCCACGGATGCTGAATTTTCTTTGCCTTCTATGGCGTCCTCTACAAAACCTCTTCAGGACCAACGTCCAAGCGGCGCTATCCTGAACTAACCAAAGTAAAAGATGTTGAACCTGCAACCTTCACAATTTTTTTTGTTATTCATTCTAAAGATGAACAGCTCCCCGTGGGAAAACTGTCTCCTTTCGTTGTAGCAAAAGTTCTTGAGAACTTGATTGGTCATAACTACAAAGCAAAGAAGATGTACTCCAGTGACCTTCTCGTCGAAGTGAGCGCTAAAGAAAAAAGCATGGCACTCCAGAAACTGTCCCGCATCGTAGATGTTCAAGTAACGGCTGCCCCACACCGCACACTGAATACCATTCGAGGGGTGCTCTCCGAGGACGACCTCTTACACTCTAGTCAAGAGGAAGTTCTCGAAGGACTCCGACCATCGGGTGTCGTTGCTGTAAAGCGGATCATTTTCAAACGAAATGGTGTGGAAATTACTAGCAAGCATGTTATGCCCGTGCCACACGGGCAACTCGAATCCCATTTACAACGAATGACATTTGAGCGGACGGCCAATCAGCGCGCGACACTCCGGCCGTGGCGCATTCCACGCGCGACAGATTGCGAGCTGACTCGTCGATCACACAAATGTCATTCGTTGTAGATGGTATTCGAGTTCCCCGTGTGGCACGGGTATTATTCTCACGTTCGAATGACACACTCCCAGCATTCGTGAAGGCGGGATAGCTCTACTGCCGTGTCCGACCGAACGTACGTAATCCGCTGCGGTATTTTCGATGCCAGCGGTTTGGTCATGGCGCTCGGAACTGTCGAGGGAAGAACATCTGCGCAAAGTGTGGAAGCACTGATCACGTTGCTGACATCTGCGAGAGTGAAGTGAAGTGTGCTAACTGTGACGGTGTACATCCTGTCTACTCACGCGCATGCCGCATATGGAAATAGGAGAAAGAGATCCTTTCGTTTAGAGCCAAGGACAACCTGTCTTACCCCGAGGCCAAGAAGCGTTGCCTTCTTGGAAAAGGGGGGTTTCCTCGAGGTAGTGCGTAGGGGGCTAGCACCATCTTCCGAGCCTCGACCCTCTCAGGTTTCGTCTGGGAACCGCGAGGCCGTCGCTCAGCCCCCACCTTCCAAGAAACCAGAGGTGGCGGCGTGCTCTCCACCTCAGAGAGGGGGCACTAGTGCCCCGGCGTCTAGGCAGGACCCCCTTTAAACATTTCCACCATGAATAGTTACAGTTTCATGCAATGAAACTGCCGAGGACAGCTTCACAACACTGACGATCTGCACTTTTTTTTTTTTTTTATGAGCTGCGAGCACTAGCAGTTGCTCTGCAAGAGACTCATCTCAATAGCACTCATATCAACATGTTTCGACGTCAAAATGTTTTTTGAAAAGACCGTACATCATCTCATTCTTCGGGTTTGACTTGCTGTTTTGGTACGAGGCGATATTGCATGCACGGCAGTTCCTCTTCGCTCACCCCTGGAGGCTGTTGCAGAGCGCATTCTTGCAGATCGTCTCATTACTCTTGTTTCCCTTTATCTTCCACCAGATGTTCCGATTGACTTTTACGATTTGCAGGATCTGCTGAACCAGCTGCCAAATCCCTTTTTAATCTTTGAAAGCACACAACCCCTTATGGGGAAGTGCTAGGTTGGACAATCGTGGAAAAGTCAGTGAACATGTTTTACTTTTATCTTCACTATGCCTTTTACACATTAAACAACCAACATTTTATAGTGCGAGCCATTACACTTTCACATGTATAGACTTGTCTATATCATCAGCTACATTATTCCCTTGTTTTTACGGAAAGTTTTAGGTGATTCTTTTGGCAGTGATCACTTTCCCATTGTTGTAGAAAGTCATATTCCATTGCCCACCATTTTAAAACGAATTCCCCGATGGAAGCTTGATCAGGCTGATTGGGGACTGCTTCAACTGGAGGCCACATTTGACTCGTTAATGCTTGAGAGTATGACACCAGAGGAGGCTACTTTGTATGTTACCGAGCAAATCATAAATGCGGCACATCACTCTATTCCCAAAACATCCACAAACCTCCCAAAACAGTGCAAGCCGTGGTGGACCCAGGAGTGCAGCACAACTAGGCGAAACCAGAAAAAAGCATAGGACACCTTTCGAAGTTTATCCAATTCCTAAAAAATTGATGGAGCTTAGAAAAAGAAGGGCGAAGGCTTCGTGAACACAAAAGCAGGCAAAACGAACATTCTGGAAGAAGTGTGTCTCTTCCCTGAGCAGCACTGCCTTCGCGAAAGAGGTGTGGGACCGCTACCGTAAAATTAGGCGGACCTACAGTGGTTTTATTCTTCCTCCTCTTTTCGCCCCGTCTCCTGCATCGTAAAAGAACGTAGGAAATGCCCTCGGCATGCACTTTCAGGATGTGTCTTCCTCTGATAACTACAATGCCGCTTTTAAGCTGTTCAAGAGGAATGCAGCATGTCAGCAACTAAAGTTATCAGGTGCGAATTCTGAACCTTACGACAAACCTTTCACGGTTTGTGAGCTAAAACAGGCTCTTGACACCAAGAAACAATCCTCACCAGGTCCCGATTCTATCCACTATCAAAATGCTTCGTCGGCTCTCCTTGAAATCGTTTCGACAGTTGCTTAAATTCTTTAACTTCCTCTGGGAAGACTCCTACTTTCCCGACGCATGGAAATGTGCACATGTCACACCCTTCCTGAAATCGGGAAAGGACCCCTAATATCCATCAAGTTACCCCCCAATCGCACTCACTAGCTGCCTGGGTAAGATATTTATATTATTCCTTTATATTTTCATAGTTTCCGACAGGGTCGGTCCACCTTGGGTCAGCTGGTACGCATTGAAACCTTACTTAGGGAAGCATTTGTAAACAGGCAGCACTGCGTTTCTTTATTTTTTTATTTAGAGAAAACGTACGGTACTACTTGGAGGCATGGCATTCGTCAGGATCTACTTGCCTATGGAGTACGAGGTTGCTTGCTCTGTTGCATTAAAACTTCCTTGACGAGACGAACTTTTCAGGTTCGGTTAGGCACCACTCTGTCCGATATCTTTGTACAAGAAAATCGGGTCCCGCAGGGAGGCCTTCTTAGTGTGACACTGGTTGCCATCAAGATCAATACGATAGCTAAAGTGATACCACGTTCCATTGCATATTCGCTCAATGTCGACGACCTGCAGATCTCTTCTTCCTCTTGCAATCCTTCTAGTTGTAAGTGCCAGCTGCAGCTAGCAATAAATAAAATCAGCAAATGGGCAGATGAAAATGGATTCCGGTTTTCAGCTGAAAACACTGTGTGCGTACCCTTCTCTCTCCGGCGTGGGATATCGCTAGATCCCGCCTTAGAAATAAACCGAACTCCAATAGCCGTTAAAGCTGAACATGAGTTCTTGGGCATTATATTCGACAAAAAGTTACGTTTTGTTACGCTTGTATAACTCTCTGGTGCGATCCCGTCTTGGCTACGGTGCTATAGTTTATAACTCAGCGCGACCATCCTCGCTGAAAATGCTGGACCCCGTACACCACCTTGGCTTGCGGCTTGCCACGGACGCCTTCCGTACGTCTCCTGTGCTTAGCCTGTATGTGGAATCTCACCAGATGTCCCTTGCCAAGCAACGGCAGTATTTAGGCCTGAGTTACGCTTTCCGGATTATATCTGACCTCGACCATTCAATCTTTACCACTTGGCAGCGATCTCGGTACGCCCTTCTTTTCGAGAACAAGCCGAGGACGGTTAGACCTTTAACTGTTTGTGTGGGAAGTGATCAGGAATCTTTTGAACTCGACCTTTATGGGATAGAACTCCTTAAGAAACCTCTACGTATTGCACCTTGGGAGCTGCTTCCAGTTTTTTGTGACTGGACGTTTACACGGTTCAGCAAACATAGCGTTTCTCCACTTAATATTCAACAAGAATTTCTCGAGCTACAGAAGAAATACAGCAACTATGCTCACTTTTATACTGATGGATCCAAGAACTCCTCCTCCGTAGGAA